TGTCATGTGCCCGGCATGTGCTTGGTGTGTGCCCGGCATGTGCCTGGCGTGTGCCACATGTCCCCGGTGCCAGCTGTGCGTGTCCCCAGCAAGGCGGCGCTGGGCAGGATGGCGCTGTACGAGTCCTTCGCCCAGGCCACGCAGCTCGGGGAGCTGCACACGTGCCTGATGATGGACATGAAAGCGTGCCAGGAGGATGATGTGAGGCTGCTCTGCTTCCTGACACCATCGATTTATAGTGAGGTGAGCACATGTGACAAATGTGACAGGGACAGTGACAGTGTGACAGGGACAGTGACAGTGTGACAGTGACAGGGACAGCGACAGTGTGCCAGGAGGACGACGTGAGGCTGCTCTGCTTCCTGACACCATCTATCTACAGCGAGGTGAGCACATGTGACAAATGTGACAGGGACAGTGTGACAGGAACGGTGACAGGGACAGGGGGACAGGGACAGTGACAGGGACAGTGTGACAGTGACAGGGACAGTGTGAGGCTGCTCTGCTTCCTGACACCGTCCATTTACAGCAAGGTGAGGGGACACAGGGGACAGGGACAGGGGGACAGTGACAGGGACAGTGTGCCAGGAGGACGACGTGAGGCTGCTCTGCTTCCTGACACCATCTATCTACAGTGAGGTGAGCACATGTGACAGTGTGACAGGGACAGTGTGACAGGGACAGTGTGACAGGGACAGGGACAGTGTGACAGGGACAGTGTGACAGGGACAGGGACAGTGTGCCAGGAGGACGACGTGAGACTGCTCTGCTTCCTGACACCATCCATTTACAGTGAGGTGAGGGGACACAGGGGACAGGGGGACAGGGACAGTGTGCCAGGAGGATGATGTGAGACTGCTCTGCTTCCTGACACCATCTATCTACAGTGAGGTGAGGGGACACAGGGGACAGTGTGACAGGGACAGTGACAGTGTGAGGCTGCTCTGCTTCCTGACACCGTCCATCTACAGCGAGGTGAGGGGACACAGGGGACAGGGACAGTGTGACAGATATGACAGTGACAGTGTGACAGGGACAGGGACAGTGTGAGACTGCTCTGCTTCCTGACACCATCCATCTACAGCGAGGTGAGCACATGTGACAAATGTGACAGTGACAGTGTGACAGTGTGACAGGGACAGGGGGACAGTGACAGGGACAGGGACAGTGTGACAGGAGGATGACGTGAGACTGCTCTGCTTCCTGACACCGTCCATTTACAGCGAGGTCAGGGGACAGGGGACAGAGGGGACAGGGACAGTGTGACAGGGACAGGGACAGTGTGACAGGTGTGACCAGGGTACCTGTCCAGGTGTGCTGAAGGACCAAGTCCAGGATTGGAATTTTTCTGTGGGGTTCACAGTTTTTCCATGGGGTTTGGAGTTTTTTTCCATAGGGTTTGGAGTTCTTCCGTGGGGTTTGCAGTGTTTTTACAGAGTTTGGGGTGTTTTTATGGGATTTGAG